GGACCTTGGTTGCGCCTGCCCCCATAGATCAATTCGCGTTGATTTGACTGAGTCTGAAATTTAGATCCTACTATTCACTTGCCGTGGTGTGGAAACACTAGGTAAATTACATGGTGTTCATTGTCGATATTACCATATACGGTCATATGACGATTGGCGATATAACACGGCGACAATATGAGGTGGCCTCATATGACACGGCACAATATCATATTATATGGTCATATCAACATATGGTAATATATATTGCCATATCGCAAATACTATTGGACACACTGCCCACAAGGTCACCGAGCTCCTGGCCACGATGCGCGAGCGTTTCCTGCAGTCGCGCATGTGGCTCATCGAAGAAGCCAAAGGCCACGCCGGTCGCCACGACCTGTCATCTGCCATTACCAAGCTCGAAGGCGGCGCGCAGTCCAAGATGAAGCAGGTCACGGCGATTAACCAGTTTACGCTTGCCCTCTTTTCCATGTCGGCCCACGACTGGCCGCGCATGCGCAAGTACTTTTTGCACTGCGTCGAGGTCAACACCTGGAGCGCCGGGCTCTACTACTACATGGCCTGCGCCGCATCGCTCGAGCTGTACCGCGATGCGGTCGCGCGCGGGGACGCTGCCTCTGCAGCCGCCGAGAAGAAGACGGCCGAAAAAATCTCCTCAAGTCTGGCGAAACATCGACTAAGAAGAAATTCATGGTGCGCCAGCTGCCGTTTGAGACGTTTGTGCAGCGCAAGGTGCAGAAATGGGAAGCGCGCCGCCAGGAGCTCGGCGTGGACCTGGCCGATGCCGTGGCTGTGAGTCCTGCGGTAGAAATGATGTTTGCGTGGAGCGGACCAAAGTGGATGGCGCCGCGCGAGTTGGAAAAAGCGCAAGAGTGTCTCGCGTGGAGCAGGCTCACGGCGCCAGCAGACAAGCTGGAGAAGCTCAAGGAGCGAGATGAGCTAGGGGTGCGCGCCGTGTGTCTGACGTCCATTCTACGCGGCTGTAATCGCCTTGACGAGGCCAGGGAGCTGCTCGAAGTAGAGGTTTTATCTCATGATAGGTTCGTTCTCCCACCCCCACACCAGCTGAGAAAGTGTGAAGATCGCTGACTGAGATAATAGAAGCATGTTCAAGGGCAGTCATAAAGAAGACTACGTTGTGCCCGCCGCGATTCATGAAGTCGCCGCCACTGCGTGGGCTGAGTGCGGCCAGCCGCCCGCCAGCCTCGACGCGGCGCAGACGGAAGTATATCAGAGAACCAAGGTCAAGAAGTGCGAGGAGAAACTGGAAAAGGCGCGCGTGTGGGAAGCCTACGTCCTGGATGCGCGGATGGGCATGCGGATCCAGTGCGGGCTGGCGACGCTGGCGTGGTATCGCAAGAAGAAGGGCTGGGCGGCGTAGAAGTATTTCTCATGGGTTGCATTTGATCATGTGCTGGGCATTTGAACACGGGTTTTCATAGACGTGGGTATATTTTGCATTATAGAAACCGGACAAGACGATAGACAGGACGGGAATGGGTATAATGTATAAGCATCGATCCAAACTTGGGGGGATATCTTTCCGACATGATCAACCTTTTACTTTCTCACTCGACGCCTTTGAGTATTCAACATACTTTTCAACCACTTCTTCCTGTATTAACCGTCTTGGTTTTTGTCAACTCGTTCTTCTTACCCTTTCTTCTCCGCCTCGGCCTAGGTGTAGTAAAATATGGTCATTGGATTTTTTTGTATCAAACTCATCTTCTACGAATACAATCGAGCACAAAGGGTTGGCAGAAGTGAGCAATCCTAATTTCTTCTTGAATCAAGGTCGAGCCTTTTAGCATCCAGACTTTGAGTTTCAGTCCCCGCGACCAATTACGCTCTCAGGACTAAACACAGCCTTATTTGACAACTTTTAAAAGAAGCTCAGTTGACAATGTAATAGACTGCTAGGTACCAGGAGAGAGGAATATTGATAATTTGTCTGACTGTGCCGGCCACGCTGGATAGTACACGTGCCCGTGGTCCCTGTAGGATCGTTGTCTCGACTTCCACGCCGTCTGTCAGCACAATAACTCTCCCAATGTAACCAGTCTCCCTTGCCATCTTATTTCGCAGAACCATTCTTGCACGCTTCGTACGCTCGGTAACCTTCGTCACCGCATTCCTTGACTTTGTTTGGTTCAGACGTATTCTTGACGCACTGTTTGACCCTATCCTGCTGTACCTTCCTACATCGCGCATAGTTTTCGGGGCTATCTCGTCCCAGAGTCTTGGCCACATCATCATTGTACTTTTTGACGAATTCGGCGCTCAGACGTTTGACAAGGTCCGATGCTTGTTCTCCAGCTGTATCTGGATCTTGTTCGGCCAGTTTCGCCTATTATCAGAGAGGAATGAATTAGCACACACGAGTTCTCGCAAATCATTGCTCGTATACGGTGGAGTTTTCAAAACATACCCATTTCTTGCAATCCTTAATCATCTTAATCGCGGCGAAAGACATTGTGCGCTTCGCCTCGTCGTCTAGATGTGGGGCTGTGATTGAAGAGTCAGGCAGTCGGCTTGAAGGGATTGCTACCTTGAAGTGGGACTCTTACCGGATGAGAGAATCTTCTTTTGCTCCTCAACCTTGACCATGATAGCCAGAATCTCAAGAGCCTTGAATTAGATGTTAGACTAGGTGCAGAGGTATACTGACTGAGTGAGACAACTTACATATAGATGCGCAGTGTCGTAATCAGCAATCTCTGGGCTGCCTTCCAGGTCACTGAAGCCCGGGACCGTTTCGTATTCATCGAGAAGGGGACTATTGAAGCTGTTAGCGGGAGGTGTTTTTCAACCCTCGGTAATAAGACTGTCCATTGCTTACCCGTAAGCATAGTCGTGCTTGCAGGCAAAGCTCTCAAACTTTTCGGCCCACGACTTGACCTGCCCGAGCACTGCCTCTACAGATCCAGACGAAATATCCTTGGGCGATCCTTCCTTTTCTCCCATAAAGATACCCAGCTCGCCTTGGTAGAAGAGTGACACATCTACATTAGTATGCTTATTCACTTCTTCCATGCTCTTCTTTACGTCTGCGGTCAAGTCTCCCTTGACGCCCCAAAAGCTCAATGAAGCCTCAGCACTAAACAAAACAAACATCAGTATTACTCTCTGGATTCTATACTACAAACTGTACGTGGAGCAATACTTACTGTGCCTTGAGATCTGATGTCTCGGTGTTATCTTTGGAAGTAAATGTCACGCGAGCAATCATCTTGCCGCCAGTCTTGAAACCTGTTCGTTTTGCCCCACTGATTAGTGAATTTTCTTTTTGGGAAACCAGGAAATGGGATATTCACCATGAATCCACCGGTTTCCAAAGTCTTGAGAAAATCGTCCGGGCTTATATCTCGCCTTATTGAGCTCGAATCCACCAGGTGTAGCCAACTGCCTCTCAACATCAACAAAGGCAACATATGTCAAGCTGTTCCCGGAGAACTGTAACTGACTGTTAGGGCTGTTCTTGAGATGTTTTTAGAGACTTTTCATGTAACGATCTTACCTTTGCCTGGTTCAGGTAGTTACCGGACACAGAAGCACTTTGGCCCCAACCCGAGATAGTTGCGCCACCGCTGATGCCGAGAAGCTTCAAGTAGGAACTGCAACGCACATTAGCCAGAGCCTTGTAAGATCACATAAATAGAAGTGCATACTCGTAATCTTTAGTGAATTTATACTCTTTTCTCAAAGTGCCGGGGCAGTTTGGATCCTCAGCCCGAGTTTGGAGTTCATTCGTCGCAAGCGCTCTGTCCTTTTCCTCCTTTTCCTTCTTCTTTTGCTCTTTCAGTTCCTTCAATTTGGCAGCGATACGATCTTTAATCTCGTTGGTCTTGGGGACCTCAAAGTATTGCGTCGCGTCGACACCATTGAAGTCCTCTATGTCAGTGGTGGGTGGGATGAAGTCGAAAACTGTCTCAGCCTGAGTCGTCTCATTTCCGGCAGGAGCAGCCTCTCCATCTGTCTCATCTCTCTTTTTGTTGCTGGTCCAGATAACGGCGTCGACAATTTTGCCCTTCTCTAGGAACGTGTTGTACCTGAAGCCGAGTTAGAAATCTCTTATGTCCTTATCCTGTTTTCCTGTTGCTCAACAAAGCAAGAGGCTGAAGAGTTGGTTACCCTTGCCCTCTGGTCAAGAGACCAACGGCATCGTTCTTGTTCTGGTTTCCCACGCTTGCAGGCGGAGTGTCGACCTTTTCTGGCTGTTCTTTGACCGGACTGTCAGATGGCTTATCACCCTGTCCTTCGTCTCGTCTATCAGGCTCAACAGAGAATTCTTGATTCTCCTCCACAAAGTCAACCTAGATTCAAAAAAGCAGTTAGCTTTTCCTATAAAATCTCCAAACAGAAAGCAGTTGATAATGAAATTCTCACGTTATCGTGCTCTCTGATCTGCTTGAGCACTTCATCTGAGAATTTGCCCGAGTAGCCGTGAAACCCGATAGCTCCTGCGCGGTAGGTATGCTCAATACCCTGACCTTTGCCAGAATCGTCTCTACCATTTACTGCCTTGTGCAGTCCGTTGACCCAGTCAATATGCTTGTCAATATGCTCATTTTTCAAGTCTGCCTTCAGGACCACGATATGGCTATAAAGGAGGAAGGAGTTTAGCATCAGAGTTCTGCCATGGTCTGAGAAGTTTTATAACAAGGCGGACTAAGTCCTTACCCAAGAGATCCGGCCGCGTTATTCTTGGAGGATTCAGGTTCTGCCGCTCCCGCGAAATGAAGTAGAGTAGGCCCGAGGGCAAGAGACCAATACATGGGCTTCATGGTGAGATTTTGACAGAAAAGTGTAATGTAAAGCTTGAGGTAGAAACAAGTGTATCTTGAGGAAAGCCGTTGATGGATGAGATGGCAAAGTGAATTAAGGGTGTTGAGAAGTGAGGTCTTATAAGAAGTGAAATCGACGTAGAAGCCGATACGAAGCCATTGGTCTCGAATAGCCCGATGATCCCGGGACCAAGCAAAAGAAGACTACCCATCACCGGCGGAATGATGCAAATGCATTCCAGTTCTTGAAATTGCGTTCATGCTAAGGTTCGACATTTTAGCACTGTTGCTTATACTTGCGGCGGGGCAGCGCGAGTCAGCTACAGCAAGGCTAGAACCACCGGAGGCTTTGTCAATCGTTGCTAGATATCGAGAATGAGTAGTACTGCTGACCTTGCGCATCAGCATTGCGTAGCCTTCATAGTGTGGCCGTAAACCGAATAGTGGTTCAAGTAAACACTCCATGCTCGCGTGGCGCGTCGTTTGTGCATGGGGTGATCGGAACCCGACGGAGAGTAAGCTACATGTGCCATGTACCCACCGACTCATGAGTAAGGTAAGCGGCAAGCTATAGTTGCGCGGCAGTTTGACTAAGTGCCTGCTCTCAGGTAAAGTTCAGGGCCTGGGTTAGATTAACTCGAAGCTAGTTAGTGATGAAGCCATTCATCAGCCAACACATTCTGCCTTGTGACTAAAGGCTATGCCTAAACGCCGAATTCGCTGTAGAAATTGTCCCACTCCCGTTTGCGAGTAAATGCCATTCTGCATGACACAATGTGTATACGAAGTCTCAGAAATGCATCGCCCAATAGCTGTCAATGCCCTATGAGAGTGGGGGTCAGACACGACACGACAGGGCAGTCTAAGCTAGTGATGATTGAAAATGTATAATCAAGGAAACGATTGCTTTCAATAGACTTGGTACATAACACTTCCTGAGCTAAGATGATATCAAGAATCACTATAGAAGATGAAACCCTGTTAGAGAGCTCTATGTAGAAGCCTCGGACTTAGCTTGACTCCTTCCAAGGCGTATCCAATTGCCACCCCGTAACTATCACAGCAATTGCACATATAGTCATGTTGTTTGCCTAGCAGGGTATACTATTGGTACGCTGTCACAGTGCCACGGTGTCACGCCATCACGGTGTCACGCCATCACGGTGTCACGGTGTTGTCACACTTGTCATTCATGCTCGAATCACCTCGGCAATGCAGCTAATTGCCGATCTATGTTCGGATGGATGCTGGCACTACTTCAAGGTACCCTTTTCTACAACTTAGCTCCACTCAAAAATGGCGGTATTCCATTATCATGTTTTCTTTATTACATTGAGGTGCCCCTCCTCGTAAGGACCAACAAGGTGATCAGCCGCAACATTATCTTGTGAGCCTGAAGACTCAGCCTTAGCTGACTCGATGGCGATATCCGCCGCGGTTAAACATGACGTCGACTTGGACTTATTGTTATCAAGTCAGACCCAGACGAAAACATCAAGCTGTGCACACAATCACATGATGCATGATTGTGCTATTCCGAGGAAACCGATCACCCTTACTATTTTGTAGCTGACTGACAAGGCAGTTCTTTCAGGTCGTGCAAGGGTCTTTAGATGATGCAATTAAGCGCATTGTACCTGGTCCGTAATCTCATCATCTAAATTATGTTTTCTCAAGAGACCAAATCCCCTCTGTGCTCATTCTCGGTCTCGGGCTAGAGCCGAGCGATCGCCGGAACAAGGCCCTGCACGCTTTGGAGATTTCCTAGCGTACACGGCAGAAGGCCTCTAGCGTTTGTTGCGCATCCCTCTTGCACTCTTTTGTCTGCACTTGTCTTGTATAAAAGCGATCCGCCCGCCCGAGTATAGTTAACCCTCCAGTCAGATCAGTGGCCAACACATTCATTCGATAACTTAGTATACAATCGCTCCTTACCATCTATAGAGGTTGTACTTGCAATATGAAATCCTCAGTGCTGCTCGCTATGCTTTTGGGGCTGGCTTCGGCCGATCCTACGCCAGCGGCCGAGCCACAAATCCAGCTCAAGGCGCCTTGGAATCTCCGGACCATCTCTCATCGGGAGAAACCCAGGTTTGCCTCTGTTAATGTGCTTCGCAACTTCAAGTACTACTATCAATCGTGGACCAGCGGCGACACATACTACGCGTATGTTATCGACTCGGGGGTCCGCATCTCACACAAGGAGTTTGAGGGTCGTGCTGAGAATCTTTGGACAGCGTACAAGACCAGCGAAGGCAAGAACGACTTTGAAGACAAGAACGGCCATGGCACCCATGTTGCTGGGATCGTTGCTGCCAAGACGTATGGCGTGGCCAAGACTGCCAAGGTGATCGCCGTCAGAGTCCTCGACGAGAAAGGAGGGGGGACGACGGCGGCAATACTCAAGGGCATGGAGCAGGCCATCGCCGACATTGCCAGGAAGGATCGACACAACCATGCCGTCATCAACATGTCGATCGGGATGCCATGCTCCACTGCCATAAATACCGTCATTGACAGGGCGTATTCTCGCCGTGATGACAGCCAAAGAAACCCGGCCGGCATTCTCTTCATTGTTTGCTCCGGCAACGAAGCCATCAATGCCAGGGATTGCTCGCCAGCCTCAGCCCGTCAGGCCATAACCGTTGGGGCAGTCAATCCTAAGTGGAACGTCGTGAGCTGGTCCAACTTTGGAAGCACTGTCGATATTCTAGCTCCCGGGATCGATATCGTTTCGCTTTCGAATAAGAGCGACACTGAAACCGCAACCAAGTCGGGTACTTCAATGGCCACACCCCATGTCGCCGCCTTGGCTTTGAACGCAATGGCCGTCTTCTCCAAGATCAGCACTCAAGTCCGTTGGTTCCTGGCGGAAGAGACTGCCACCAAGGATAAGATTCAGGGGGACCTTGGTGGTGCACCTAATCGACTCGTCAACAACAACAACAGCAAGCAGGACAGTTGCAAGCCCAAGGAGCCCAAGAACGAGAAGGAGGACGATGAGTGTTAGGCGACTAAAATTGGCGAGATATTTGGCTGACCCTGGATTGAAACACTACATGTCAGCGTCTTGACAACGTGAACAACATTCCCAAGAGTCGCTGCATCTTGGACGGGGTTGGGCTGAACGGACAGCTCCGGGATGGATGGACATGTTACGTCCAAGCTGCACAAGTTCGCGTTTTATTTCAGATTGTTCTCATACAATACAAGTTCGGTGCCGTTATCATTTGCACTCAGTCGTTGTGACTCGCTTGATGAATCGGTCGACTTTTTATATAGTTCCGTCGAAGCCTACCTATCCACCTCTTGTGTCTTATAGCTGGACATTACCCTTTAGAATTCTCACAGGTCCTCGTAATATTCCAACAGCTAAGTCGGATGCTCAAATACTACCCGGTCCTTGATAGTCAGTCTATTCTCCTCTATGCAGCCCTGAGGCTCTTTAGCCGACTTTCCGACACCACCAATTCTCTTTAGCCTATTTCTTTGTTCTTATTGCTGATGAAACTTTAAAACGAGCTGCCCTAGAAACAACCGAAAATGATAGCACGCCGGATCAGAAATAGCTAAGAGAGCTAACACGTTTTATTATCAATACTAAGATCAAGGTTTATGCTCGCATGTTCCTTATGTCAGCTAACTTAGTCCGTAGTTGGCCATCTCGCAGTCTTTTACCAGTTTTTTTCATTTCTATTCGAGACGGCGAGAAAGACCACTTCGATTCGTTACATTCTTTATGACTTTCAATGACATAGACCCAACTTGACCTTTTCGATTTTCGTACCTGTCATGGTGCTACGTGACCTCAAACTCGAGCTCGATGCTCTCCGAGCTCGTGCCCACCCGCGTGTGGTGCACCGGCATGCCCTTGAAGCCCGTCACTCGCTTACGAGTCTGCACTATCTCGAAGACCCCCCCCCCCGTGTGACCGCCACGTCCCCCGAATCACTGTGCGACTCCACTGTGTCTTGCAGTTGACCGGGTAGGAGACGCTGACTCTGCCGCTGTTGGACGTGTGCCTACACTCGAATCCCGTCGTGCCTGCCTTTTCCTCACCCGCTAATGTTTCCTCTGGTGCACGAAATCTATATCGGCAAGCGACAGGTGCGTGGCCGTGGCTGGAACGCTAGGCGCGTCGAAGGCCAGACTGATGTTGTAGTCGTCGGACTGCAGATGCAGCCGCCGTAGGCCGACCTCTCGAGAACCCTTGGGCCAGCGCAGATATATCTGCCCCGGCTCTGCGCTGAAAGTATAGATCAGAATGATCTGCGACTTGCCCTCCGCGCTGTAGAAATACGACACGTAGGACATGTTTCCGCCCATGTAGATGTCCAGAACGGTGGGGGCGGCGGGAGGCACATGACGCACGACAATGGAGCCGGAGCCGCGGCTGTCTTTTTGTTTCTGCGAGATTTGAAGGGTTCGCTCGCGCCCAAGAAAAAGGGGTATCGAGTCGTGTATCACCATGCTGAAGGAATGCGGTATTTGTTTGCGGAGTTGATCTTGGATAGCTGAAGCCAAGTAAAAGATGGCCGTTGGAACTTATGATACAACTATTCTGGGCGACTCCTCGTTATCAGCTGAGGACGCTCTGCAGCCTTGTGTGTAGGGCTAGGGCTGTGCAGAACTGGGAGGATACTGAAAAGGAGCCTAACCTTTGAACCTTTGATGATGAACTGGATATTTTCGAAGGGTATATTGGCGGAATTAAGAAGAAGAGGGAGGGGACTTGTGCGAGTGGAGAGATCAATAGCGGTCGTTTGTGAAGGACCTGCCAGCTGGCGGCGACGGTCGGCATAAAATCATGGAAAATACTGCAGGTATTATTAATAGTTGGGAAATTATTGAGAGATGAGCACCTTCCAATCCTTAATCAACATTGATGGGCGTACAGGACCACGTCAGCAGAGTACGAGAGGTGAATCTAAATGACGGTTGACACTCATGAACGTGTACGTCAACTTCTTGCTTCCCCTTGCTTCCGCCAGCCCGCCTGCTCGCGATATTTGACTCTCAATTAAACTGATTTTTCCTCAGTGTATGCGATACCAGCGGCAGCGACACGACCGATCGGCTGGATGCGGATATTTTGGCTGATATCAAGAGACGGATGGAAACTGCGTAAGAGGTCCCGGAGCTGATGCCTATTCCCAAGTAGTCTTGAGCAGCTCACTTCCAAATTCAGAGTATAATGGCTTGATCAAGTCAAGTACACTCACCTGCTTGCTTGTTGTGCAACAGGCCAGCCGCTATGGAAATGGGCAGTGGCCAAGGTTACTAAAAGCGTGGATTGGAACCAGCTGGTGTATTATTATATTGGTGGTATTATTTACTGGAAAATCGAATTGGGCATCCCTGATATTGAAGTCATCCCCGCTCGAGATAGAGAAACTGCATTTTGCGTATTGAATCGTCTACCATTTGTGCGTCTAGATCCTCTGAACCCGCCTCCGCATCGACAGCATCTGCCATCTGCATGCCACCATCGTCATCTAAGATCGGCCTGTCTGCATCCACTGCTTGAGACGGCGCATCTATTTCTCCAGCAGTGGTATCTTGTTGGCTAGGAGGAAAATGCTCGTCCATCAGTTCATCAATATCGGCCGAGGTTATGAATGCCATTATAGAAAATCAGAGAGATGTGCCAAAGGTCAAAAATGATCCTCCAGTGGGACCTTGCAAACAAGACAAACCTACTATATACATAGCCCTCGGTGTATGCAGAATGCTGGGCTGGCAGTTGGTACTGAAACTGAAAGCAGCAAGCATGCCGCTCTTTGCCCCACGCTGCGCCAGCGGGTATGTGGAAGCTGCTAGCGTACCACAGCTCCCAGACGCAATTGTTACATCCACATGGGCTTGAAAGTATCAGTGAAATGAATTGTGCAGCAAGAAAGTAACCAGCCATGGTGTCGATACCATACCCTTTTCAGGTGCTGTACAGATAATATTGAACGAGTATTTCTTTCCGAGGCTCATTACCAATTTCTGACCTGAGCTTAGGGCCATCATCAAAAAGTAGCATGCTGTTTTCAGTCGTCGCTGTAGCCATGAGCGGCGCAGTTATGTCCTATCACTGCGTTACAATTGCATATATGATAAAAGCGCCTGCTTTTTATTGAGCAGTTGTGGGTCGGGGTCCCGCTGGTACAAACGGTGGAGGGCGCGGTTTCTGCTGTTTCCTTAGGCGTACAAATCTGATTCTGGAGCTAACATGCTGCGAGGTAACGGCCTCCAAGGCGCTGGCTCATTAATCTCGCTTTTGCCTCGCAGCTCGCAGTGGCCGCTCTTGCGGCCTAGACTTATTTGTCTTAACTCTTTGGTAGCGGTCTTCTTGATCGGCCAGTTTTTACGTTCATATCCGGTTAGTGTTAAGCTGGAGACCGATTATATCAAAGCAGCAGTAGACGAGGCAAACTTAGCACAGTAGACTGATGCTTGGGCTGTACATTACGTGGAAAGTGAGTATGACTGGGCCGCTAACCTGAGCGGCCAAACCACAACTCCGACTCAACCAATTACATGGCCCAGCGCGTCCTCTTCTTAGGAGACCTAAGCGGCCCACGCCGCTGGG